TTCCTCGCGGGTATTGGAGACGCTCAGCTCTGGACACACGAGAGCAGGGGGCAAAGGAACGGATGGGGCATAGCTGCCGCGTGGGCTGGGATAACTTGGCGCTGGCTTTGGACCTGGGGGAGCTGATAGCCCACAGTTTTAGCTGCCTCTCAGTTAAAGGAAGAGCTTATTCCCCTTCAATGAGGACAGGTGTGGACATGGTCTATGAACTGGGAGCCCGGTGCCCAGCTCACAGAGGTCGTGAGTGAACTTGCACGCCCCTGCCCCGCAACCCAGAGCAGGCACCAGGGTAGCAGGATGCTACAGAGGACCAGGACACAGGCCTCGCCAGGAATGCAGCTACAGGCCAACCCCGGGTGGCACGGGGTTGGGTATGGGGGGCATCCCAGTAGGCAGAGCAGCCAGGCCATCGGCCCCTTCTGGCCTTGAGGGGTCTCACGGTGATGACTCCATTTGCCAAATGCTTTGCTTCCAGCTCAGGGCCAAGTCTGAACCACAAAAGCAAACAGAGCCCCCCTCCAGGCCCAGCCAAGAGCAAAATGATGCAAGACATGTTGAAATTCAGCTTCTAGAGCTCTAATACCCAACTCCTGGCTGATGCCAGGGGAGGACTGAGCTGTGCTGCTTGGCGCGCGGCAGCCCCCAGAAGCAAAGAGCACGGTGAGCACCGCTGAAGGGCGCACCGCTTATTTAAAGGGGTATTTAATAGCAGATTCCTCTCCTCCCAGAATAAATAAACCACTTCTCAACATGAAATCTTTCCCATCCAGCCCCCAAGCTGATGATGAAAGCACAGCCAAGCAGGACACCTGGGCTCCCTTCCTGATGGAAGGGGCATGGGCTACAGCAGCCCCCAGCCCCAGTCAGGACTCCAAGGTCCTCGAGGTGACAATTCCCCCTCTTCATCCAGTAACAGGACCTTCCCCTACACCTGTTTTCCCCTGTGGAGCTGGCAAGAGCCCAGGGGTCAGGACCACTTCAATCCACCTTCTCCCCAGCTGTCCCCCAGCCAGCTGAGCCCAAGCCCCAGCACCCAGCTCCCTCCTGGCCTGGCTCCAGGAGCTTTCTGAGCGATGAGCTGCAGCACCAGGCGTGGGATGGGGATTGCACTTGGTTTATGACCCAGCCAGAGATTTCCCCTTGGATGCTGCTGAACGCCAGCAGCGTTTCATCATTCCCCTCTCCAGGATTTTTACAGCACTGTAAATATCCCAGGAACAGCCGATCTGTCCACAACAGGGTTAAACCGGGGTTGTGGACAGATCGGCTGATGGAAAGCAGCGGACTGTGAGGCAGGGTGATTTTTAAGGAGAATTACAGTAGTTCCTGGGTGCACCAGTCCTGGACCAGGTGCAAATTATGCACCTAGGCACGGGCAGTCCGGCCTGGGGGTTAGTTACCCTGCGCATGGGTACAGTCCAGGCTAGATTCACAGGCAGCTGGGAGGTGGGGACTCGATTCATAGCTGAAGCCAGGGTCAGAAGCTGGAGACGAGGTGAGCGGAGGGGAACTGGGATCGGGGGAGCCCTTGCCTTGAAGCCAAGAGGGCTGATGGTCAAACCAGAATCACAAGACGCAGAATCGGGGGATCCCGGTGGGTTCCTGGTGTTGGAGCCGACCAGGAGACCGGGGGCTGGGCCTGGCTTTTAAAGCCTGGAGCAACTAGGGCCAGTGGCCTGTGGCTTATGAGGATTAGCTGCCCCCACTGCCTCAGTTGGCCCAGTTGGGACCTGGGCACTGCTCCAAGCTGGGGGTAAGTGGCTCTTACTCCAGGGATGACTTGCCCTGACCCCTCGATTGGGACTGGCTTGGCCTTCTTACACCCAAATCCTTCAGCAATCTGGGTCTCGCTGGCCAAACAGACCTTGATTTCCCTTCCAGGCTCTGCTACAGACCTACTGCACATCCTCTGCCCTCTCACTTATATTGAGGCATAAGAAGTTGCAGGGGGGGAGGTTTGGCTCAGGATGCCTCAATGGGGCCTGATTTCTATAGCTGAAGCCTCCAGACCATGATCACCCAGCAGCCCAGGGGCAGCACCTGCTTGGGAACCTGCCCTGTTCCATGCCTGTTTTCCCACCTGAAAAACAGGGAGAAACAGGGGAGGAGGGCATGAGACCAGCTAGCAACAGAGACCTGCTGAGGCACCGCTGGGATCTAGGCCCAGAAGGAATCATTTGCTCATCTAAGCTGGAGAATTTCACCCCGTTCCCTGGGAGAAACACCCCCACTTCCACAAAGGCAGGCTAGGAAGCCCCAAGGGCCAAGTAGTTCTGCCCCCACCCTTAGGAGACTGCACCACTCTCTCACCACCCTCCCCGCCAGCAGCTGGCCCCTCCTTCCTTAAGGGAACAGGCCTGACTACGGCTCTCTTTGTCCCAAGATTCAAGGGGCCTTTCTACACCTAGCATTTCCCTCCTGGGAGGGTGCTTCACTATTCAGGACACTTGCTATGAGATAATTATGCCCCTTCCTGGCCCACTAATTAGCTATGCAAACATGCAGACTGCCCTCCCCCATCTATGATTGCCTCTGGCCCTTTGAGACAGGATCGTGGCACTGTTAGCATAGGTACCACCTGTATATTGGGTCCTTGTTGCCCCACATGAGAAAGCAGCCAAGGAAAGGCCAGTGCAGACTCACCCACTCCCGGGATCCATTGCAGGGAGGAGACATGGGTCCCTGCGCTGGCTGTACGAGCTGGAGCTAGCCAGGAGAACAGATCACCAGTCTCAGCTGCATTTGCTCTCCCGCTGTCCTGCTCCTTAAACCAGCTGCCACCATGGAAGGAGATGCATGGACCACAGGAACCCAGGAGCCCTGATGCCTTTCTGCAGCTCTAGCGCCGAGCAGCTGAGCACAGCAAGACGGGCTGCCAGGCATCACTGGAGCCCAGCCACCAGCCCCTGCATTAGCTCAGCCTGTTGGCCTGGTTCCCCATGTTGGCTGGGAGCCAGGGGACCGTAGCAAACCCAGAGACCTGCCTTGTTGGATCCCCTAGATCTGCTGCTGGGTAACTGGGAGCAGGCTGGCTTGGTGCCTCAGTTTTTCCAGCTGTACAATGGGGTGATATGAGCTGTTTTCTCTGCAGGAGCTCAGCCCTAGCAGAAGCTGACCCTTTCCCCTCCTGTGTGCCAGTGGGGCTGGCTGGCTCCAATATGCTGCCATTAGGGTCCACCACAGAGACCGTCTGTTGTGGGGTGCTACTGAAAGTGGTGATAGCAGCAGCCAGAAAGAGCGGCCTTTGGCCTGCCAAAGCCCCCACTTTTTGCCCATAAAGCGGTTCTTGATGCCCTTTCCCTGCTCTTCTTTGGTCTCGAGGGAACTCAGAAACCCACCACCCAGAGACACTCAGTTCCCCCTTTGTATTTGATCTCAGGCTCCCAACACAGCCATGGGGCACACACATATTAGGCTCCAGACGAGGATTGTGCTGGATTTCCTTCCCTCTAACCCCAAATACCCCAGATGGAGGGACAGCTAAAGCAGGTGTGTGGGTGTTGGCTGAGACATTGGCTTCCAGCTCCACCTGGAAATGACAGAGTGGGGGCGGTGGGGGGCTCGATGCAGCAGGGAGAGAAGTAGCAGCATCGGCAGAGCTGATGTGGTGTGAACATATCTGGAAGGGGCTGAGCTGTGCAGAGAGCCCTATTTCTGGATCGGTTTAACTGACAGTTGTTGGAAATAATCTCTCCAAGCTCCAGAAGGGAACAAGACTGAGTGGAGGGGAATAGAGCCTGGCTTCCAGGTTTGGTTTCTGGGATCCTTCCTTTGCCCTGCACCTGAGGAGCATGGGACAGAGGCTGGCACCTACCCATGCTAGTTTGGCCACCCCTGCTTTAACCTGAGACTCAGCAGAAGTTGTGCTGTGGATGTGAGGACTCACACAGGCAGCGGGGAGGTGCTGAAGCTGATGAAAGGGCCCTTGAAAGCAGAGACAGATGAGACCTGTGGTCTTGTTACTAATGGAGTCTTTTCTGCTTCTAATCAGCAGAGAACAGACTCCCTCTGCGAGAAGTCCCCGCCCTCACCCACTATCACAAAAGGTGTGAAACTTCCCACCCTGCCACACTGCTTTTATACCTCCCCAATTAACAGCTTGGCTTGTGCAGCCACACTGAATTCGTTAGAAGATGCTAATGATCCTGTTCTGCCCATCCACACAGCCAGCCCCATGATCCCATTCTCCCCATCCACACAGCCAGCCCCACCGCTAGCAGCTCGAGGAAGGCTTTCAAATCCATTCCCGCCCTCCCCTACAACAGCCTCCAGGAGAGGGGCAGGGAGCACAGGGGCTAATTTCTGCAAGGGATGCATCCAGCGCTCAGGAGAGCAGGTTTTATCCCCACTGAAGGCACGTTATTTGCATTCTGCCTTGTCCACTGCTGTTTTAAAGCAAAGGCAGCTAAGCTATGGCTTAGCAACAGTGTGGACAGCCTCTGTGCAGGGCACATGGCGGATGGGGGAGCAGAAAGCAGAGTAGCAGATGGGACAGGGGAAGAGGATTGGAGTGGCACTTGAAGACGGCATCAGGCCTGATTTGCAGAACACCTGCCAAAAATACTGGCCCGAAAGAGTCCAAACCCTTTACTTACATGAGGCAGAGGCAGCCCCCGGAGGTTAAAGCATTGCCACCCCCTGCTCAGACCCCAAGAGGAGCTGGCTCAGAGCCAACTAGATGGAGTCTCAGGGGAGCACCATGCAGCTGGGACTTCTGCCCTACAGCCAAGGGGAAGATGGGGCCCTGCTACTTGGGACTAGGACATGCTCCCCAAGACATACCAAGACCTTGCTGTGCTCCCAACCCGCAAGTCTCCCATCCTACTACTAGCTGCAGCTCCATACACCAGACGCTGCTCCCCAAGCATGGATCTACTGCATACGAGCCCCAGGCAAGGGACTGCCGAGTCCTGCATGATCCAGTGTCCCCAACATACAGGAGGTGGGAAGAGGGGTTAAAGCAGGTTGTGCTACAGAGCCTGAAAGAAGACTGAGCCACCTTGGCGAGAGAAACCCAGTTGGTTTATTTGCAAAGGGCTGATCGCTTGCTTTACATAGAAAAACCCTCTCATTAAAATCCTAGAGAACGAGGAAGAGAAAGAATAAGGGCTGGTCCAAGGGAGAGGAGGGTGTTGGGGGGTTTATACGACACTGATGAGGCTCCCGGGCCTGGGAACGTTGGTCCGTGCACAAGCTGAGATCCAGGGACTGAAGAGGGATCTGTGGCAGGAAGGTTCTTCAGGCCTCCATGCAGCGCCTCCTATGGCAGGGGTCCTCGCAGGGGGCCCCGTGGGGGCACCGGGGGTCTCTGAGCTGGTCGCGGAGGCATTGGGACCCGCTGGTAGCCATAAGGTGGTGGCCGCGGGGGGCCGCTGTAACCGTGGGGGGGCATCAGCGGAGGCGGCCCACGCATCCCGTGGTGCGGCATGGGGCCAGGGTGACCTGCAGGGAGAGAGGATGCTGGTATTTAGCCTCAGCTCCTAGTGGAGGCTGCGGGGCAGACAGCCCCCAGAGGGCTTTCCCCCGCAAGTCCATTGGCCGGGAGCACTGAAGGATACCAGTGAAGCTGGGCCAGCTTACTGCTGCGGCCGTGGGGAGGCAGGCAGATCCAAGAATGATGGACACTTGCTAATGAACCTCCTCGTCTCTCTGGCAACAGGAAGGGGCATGGCCCAGTTCAGCCAATGAGACAGCGGGGCAGGGATCTACCTACTACAGATCTGCATATTTAATTGCTTTTCAATCTTGGGAACAACTTGTCAACAAATATGTCAAGGGCAAACAACAGGACTTGGTGAATAGTTTTTCTGAAAAGCACCACCCCCCAGAAGACACAGACCAATGGACACAAGCTAGTTGAGGAAAAGTTTTGGTTGGACATAAGGAAAAACTTCTTTTCTGTATGGATAACTAGAATCTGGAACACTTCCAGCAGAGATGGTCTTTTAAGAGGAGGCTGGACAAATACATCATTGAGCTCATTTGAACCCAATTACCTCCTGCCCATGGCAGGGGACCTGACCGGACCTGATAATCTTATAGGTCCCTTCCAGTCCTTCTTTCTATTATTCTAACTCTGTGTAAGCCCATCTCCCCATTCCCACTTGTGGATGGGGGGCAAAATGAAGCAACATGACCAAGGTCCCACAATAAGTCGGTGTCAGGGGCAGGAAGCAAACTCAGGAGTCCCATTTCTCCCCCTCCATCATGCCTGTACTTACCCATGGGGGACCCAAAGTGTGGTCCACGGGGCGGCATGCCCATAGGTGGGGGCCCTGGGTGCGGCATGCCAGGGGGTGGGCGCGGTGGCGGCTGGCCACCGGAGCCTGGGGGTCCCGGGTGGTGCTGGCCCATGCCAGGGGGTCCATGATGCACCTGCATTGGCGGCATCCCTGGGGAGGAGACAGAGTGAGACCCTCACGGGCTCTAAGACCCACTCAAACGGAAGCTGTGATCAGGGCAGCTGCACAGCAGACCCGGCTAGGGGCGCTGAACAGCCACAGCTCCTGCCCAACTCCCCCAGCCTGCCAGGGGCAGGACTGGAAGTAGAAGGGACCCTCAGATCCACTAGCCCAGAGACCCCAGGAGGAAGAGACCAGCCAGCTCCCACCTGGTCTCGAGCCCCATAACTGAGCTGGGCTGAGGCCTCCAAGTACAGATCCGATGCCCCCATGGTACGGAGATGCCTTTACATCCTTCAGACTTGCTCTGCCTCCATCAATACCCTGCATCCTGTTTCTCTGCTGGATCCATCCAGCACAGTTTCCCTGCCTACATGCAGCAGATTCAAGAGCTGTATCCTGGCTGATGGACTGGGGACACTGCTAACAAACTCCCCCATCTCCCTGGCAACGGGGAGGGGCATGGCCCAATCAAACCATCTAGGCAGCTAGGAGGGGAATCTACTAGGCAAAAAATTGCCTGTTTACTTGCTTTTCAACCTAGATCCCTTCCCCTTCCTCCCCCCCTTAACCCGCACCCACAATCTTTTTAGCAGAAGCCTAGACACCCAGGCGTACTGCTATGGGGCGGGGAGGAGGGGGACCATTTGAGGCATGTAATTGCCTACTTTGAAGGCCCCAAAGCTGGTGTGTAATTGGAGGTGACAGCTGCCATCTGGTCACCCACAGCCCGTTCCCAGATTGCACACAAAGCCTCTTAACCAGGCGGAAAGGGAGAGGGCTGGGGGTGTGCAGGGGCGGGGCTGAGAACTGAAGTGGGGGGAAACCAAGGCATTTAAGCCATTTTGAAGGTTTTCAGATCAACTGTCCTTAACTGGCTGCCCCTGGAGGGATCCGAGAGCATAAAAAAGGGTAGAAAGACAAGGGCAGCGTTCAGCCTTAGGCCTTCAGCTTCCTGGGACCATGGCTGCAGGTGCAAACACCATCTGTGCTCAAGGCACCCATTTGAACCAGAGACCAAGGTCAGGGGATCTGGCAAGAGATCCTGAACTGAGGGCCCAATCCCACCTGAGGGGGACTTGGGGGGGGGGGGCAGGAGGGGCCAGGCCCCAGGGCCCAATCCCAGTGTGGGGGGCC